TGCGTCCCCCCAAAATGGGTCAACTTGGCTAGACCATGATTCCCAGTATTGTGTGGTTGTCCACCATTTTGTGATCTGATGTGATTTTCCTATGTTTTGTAAATCCTAACCTCTATCATGTTAATGAGGCAGGATCAGAGGCAGTCATGTTAATGAGGCAGGACACGATCTACAAGATTAGGTTGTATGTTGAGTCAACCTCTTTTGGGATATAAAAGAGGGAATAGAGCAGAGAGGGAAGGGACCTCATACCACCAAGAAAGACATACCAGTAGTGGAGTGTGTCCTTTAGACCTGGAGTTCCTGTGCTGAGAAGCTTCTAGACCAGGGGAAGATTAATGACAACGACCTTCCCCTAGAACTGACAGACAGAGAAAGGCTTCCTTGGAAGCTGGTGCCCTAAATTTGGACTTCTAGTCTCCTAGACTGTGAGAGGATAAATTCCTATTTGCTAAAGCCATCCACTTGCGGTATTTCTATTATAGCAGCACTGGATAACTAAGACAGTATGTATAGGAAAAACACAGTATATAAAGGGTTCGGTACTATCTACAGTTTCCGGCATCCACTGGGGGTCTTGGAACGTAAACTCCCAGATAAGGGGGGATTATTGTACTGAATTAGGTACAAAAGCTTCAGTTTGACATTTTAGGATGTAGGGCTGCCCTTCCAAATAATATTACCTGACAGTTTTCAAATTAGAATAAAGCTAACATAATGCCACTACCATTTTATACTCTCCCAACATAGTAACTACACTGATACTTCCATTTCTGGAATTATGGAAGACTAGATAAGGTGAAAATTCTCTTGCAAAAAAAAAAACAAAACTAGAAATGCTGGATGAAAAATGACAAACATCCTTTTAAACGAATAGCTAAGCTCTTAAGAAAGTAAGGGAAATCTCCAGGGGTCATAGCAAAATCAGAACCAAAAATCAGGTTGACAAGTATAAACCGATGCTGTGACTATCCTACGGGTGTATGCCAATGCTGATAAACAAGGGCGATGTATCTTAACAGCCACACAGAGTCAGGAGACAGGCTTAGACCTGAATAAGAAAGAGAACTGAGACTCCCACATAATGTAGAGGCCCTCACTAAGAAAGTGGATCAAAAAATTAAAAAATAAAATCTTCTATCTGCACAGGGAGATAACCAGAAAGCTTGAAAATCCTAGTACTGGCTCTGCATGGTTCAGGAACCCTTAAGTATAAAAATTAACATAAAAAAATATGGCAGGCTGGCAATACTCTTGGGGTATCTGGCCTAACTGAAAGTAAAACTATGCAGGAGCGGTACATCTTCAACTTAGGCCCCTCAGGAATCCCACAGATGAAACTCTGTTTACAATAACTCATAATCCAAAATCACAGAACACATGAGGAAATGAGTCATTATGAGTTAATGCTGGCAGACACAACAGCAGAATTAGATCTCTAAGCACTTCAGGTTATAGAATTAAGATGGTTAAAGAAAAATGAAGAATTTGACAACATGAGGAGAGAAGAAAATATTAACAAAAACATTCAGGCAAATTTGAAAAAAAAAGCAAATAGAACTTGTAGGCATAAAAATATAATCTTTGGAATTAAAAACTGAGTGGAAAAATTAAACACAGATTAAACGCAGCTGAAGAGAGAATTACTGAGAATACTAATCTGAAAAAATCACACAGAAGGCAGCAAAGACGGATAAAGACAAATGAGAGGTCAAGAGACATGAACAGACGGAAGTCCAACCTACGTCTCAAAGGAGCTCCAGAAGGAGAGAGCAGACAAAATGGAAGAGAGTCGTCTTGGTTGTCTAGTGCTGCTATAACAGAAATACCAAAAGTGGATGGCTTTAGTTTAGGAGGCTAGAAATCCGAATTCAGGGTGCCAGCTCTAGGGGAAGGCTTTCTTTCTCTCTGTAAGCTCTGGGGGAAGGTCCTTATCTCAACCTTCCCCTGGGTCTAGGAGGTTCTCAGAGCAGGGACCCCAGATGCAAGGACACACTCTGCTCCTGGCTCTTCTTTCTTGGTGATAATGTGGTCCCTCTCTCTCTGCTCGCTTCTCTTGCCTTTGATTTCTTGTAAGATTAAAGGTGATGCAGGCCACACTCTAGGGTAACCCCCTTACATTGGATCAGGGCTGTTACCTGAGTAAGGGTGTTGCATCCCATCCTAATCCTCTTTTATGTAACCTAATCTTGCCTCATTAACCACAGGGAGAGATTAGGATTTACAACACATAGGACAATTACATCAGATCACAAAATGGAGGAATGACCACATAATACTGGGAATCATGGTCTAGCCAAGTAGACACATATTTTTGGGGGACACAATTCAATCCGTGACAAGAGGCAATATTCAAAGAAATAATGAATGGAAAATTTCCAGAAACTATGCCAAACACGAATTTGTACACCAAGTGGCATAAATAAAAATCAATCCATATTTAGATACATAGTACCGAAAGTAAAACACCAAAGACAAAAAATAATCTTATAAAGAATCAGAGAAGAAAATATTGCAAAGGAAATGCAATGATATTGAGAACAGACTTCTTAACAGCAACAACTGAAAATACTATTTTATTGTCTTCTGGCTTTTAAGTGCTGGGAGAAAACGATCAACCCAGAATTCTATACTTAGCTAAAGGAAGACAATTTTAGGCAAAGAAAGATCAAAGAACTACTGAAAAATAGCTGAAAGTACTACTAAAGGATGTTCTCTAGTAAGAAGGAAATTAGATCAGAAGGAGGGGTCAGGAATAAAGAGACAAAAAAAAAAAAAAAAAGGAAAATATGTAGGTAAATGTAAATAAACCTTAAATACAGAAAATAATGATAACTATTAATTTGAGGATTATAAAAACAAGGTGGAACCAAAATGTTGGACAACAATAGCTTGTAAATTGGGAGGAGGGTAATTAGAGTTAAAATATTCTAAACTCCTTGTATTATTTGTGAGAAAGAGATTAATTTTAGGCTCTACCTCCTCAGTCATTCAACAAATATCTTTTGAGGATAAGTAAAACTATGGTGTCAGAAGCCATAAGTGATTACTGGGGGTAGTTGTGATAAGGAAGGAGCATGAAGCATACAGGAGGCTTCTGGGGTGCTGGGTGGTGCTTACATAGATGTGTTTACTTTGTGATATTTCATCAAGCTGTTCACTTATCATTTGTTTACTTTTCCGTATATATGATATGCTTCTGTAAAAGTTATAAAAGAAAATCTTATTGTACCTCTTACATCACAATAAAATTCTGATAGATTAAAGATACAACTTTAAATCTGAGTCATAAAAAATGAAAAAATAGGTCAGTATTTATATACTCTTGGCTAGGGAAGAACTTTCTAAGCATGACAGAAAAGGCAGAAATCACTGATAACTTTGATTATATAAAAATTTTAAAAAACAATAAACTTTTACACACCAAAACAAAACACTGTTTTGTCTGAAACAAAAACATCAAACATGGGAGAAAGATTTGCAAAATATATGTCACACAAATGGTCAACATCTTTAGTTAAATACATAAAATTCTTAAAAATTATTAGGGGGAAAAAAAAGGAATATCCAATGGAAGAAATGGGCAAAGAACATGAACCGGCAATTCACAAAAGAAATATATAAACGGCCAGTGAGTTCTGGAAACTGAAAATTAAGTAATTTTCCCAGATTCACAAAAATAATAAGAGAAAAAGTTAGGATTCAAACTCAGGCAATCTGACCCTTCAATAAATATTTGTTTAATGAATGAATAATTATATATTTAACACTGAAAGATGTTTACCTCATAGATAAGAAAATACAGATTGTAAGACAGAATGTACAATGACACTCCTTTCTGCATACATACTCACATAAACGTCTATACAGGCTTAGAAAAAAGTCTAGAAAGACCACAGTGTAACAGTAATTAGAGCATGCGACGTTTTTTAAAAATCTTTATACTTTCTGAATTAAAAAAATTTTCAGAATAAGCAAATATTACTTCCATAATAAAAAAAAGTTACTTTAAATAACCAAATAATAATACAAAATGAAAAAGCACATAAACACCTCTAATGACTTTATCCCAATGGATAAAAAACATGACTCAGCATGGTTCTCTCAGGGTTACTAGTCATTAAATTCCATCATTATGTCAAGTTCTCCAGTCTCTTCCTCATCTGTCTTTTCTACCCATAGCTGTCAAATTAATCTTCCTAAGCACTGTGATCCTCATGTAATTTCAGTGATTAAAAACCTTCAACGATCTTCCATTTTCTGCCCAAGATAGTACACATTCCTTAGACTGGAATTCAAGGCCTTCCACAATTGTGGCATTCAATTAACTTTTTTACTTTACTATGCATATTCTAGCCAGTTGACTACTTGCTGTTCTTTGTATATGTATGTTACCTACAGATTTCTATAACTTGTTCATGTGGCTAATGCTGCCTAGAATGTGCTCCCCATCTCTGTGTCCCTTTACTGCCTGATGCTCAGCTTATCTGCTATCTTCTCCATGAAACAATCGCTAACTTCCCTTAGCCACTCTGAGAATCCACAGCTCCTTTGATTTGTCTTTCCAGGTACTTATTTTTTGTTTTATCTTTCCTAATAAACACTGACTTCTTATTCTTCTTACTAAATACTTATTAAATGAATATAGTTTATTAATAAACTTTAAAAAAACTCACAGAATTCATTATCACTACGTTTAGGCATTTTCAAAGTGCCAGTCTGTGGCAATTCGATTTCTCCTTTGAACATAGGAAACATAAATTATTAACAGTGCAGGTTGGCCTTTACTTTCCAAGTCTCTGACCTAACAAAGTGATTTATTAACTTAATGGGGTAGATCCTTTATCTGACGCAAACTCTAAATTATTCGATGAACTGATACTTACAAACACTACAGCATTTGGGTCAGAATTGATCAAACCTTTCTTATATAAAGGGAATTTAAGCTTTATTTTCTGGGAAGAGGACAGAGCTGTAGGACTCTGAACGTTCTCCTTTACCTTTTCGTGTTGTGTACCGTGGTTCCCCCCAGGACAATCCTTACTCCAGGAGTGGTACGGTTCAGATTGTAAACTGTTAGAGCCTCTTCATACGTGGCTCCTCCAATGACAAACACAATGATATCCTGAGGTCTGCAACAATCAAGAAAGAGTTAATGTCACAGGATTAAAAAAAAAAAAAAAAAAAAAAAAAATAAAAATATAAAAAACCCAAGGATTTGTTGTTATTACATTCACAGTTTTAATTTCTAAATCTTTCTTTTTTGATGGAGGAAGCAGAATTAAAGCAGAATCAAATAAAAGGTTTAAAAAAAGTTTTTAATTATCTGAAATTGGCAGGAAACAGAGCAGGAAATGCTGAATAGTGATTTGCTTTCTGTTTATGAGCGGATGTCTTATAATCTCTGTGCTGTGGATTTCAGAATAGCAAGTAGTGTTTGCTGGGACCAAATGAGAACTGTTCTTTTATATTCAAGAGGCTGCAGAGTGCTTTGCTGTGACATGATATCAATATAGCAGTAATTTATGCTTACACTACATATCTCTTTTCATGTATAAGTCCTTTGTCAAATACTTCGTACAGTGTCATTACAATGGCCTCTGTCCAAGGACCTCAAAGCATTTTAGAAAGTACTGGTATATTTGGATGTCCCCATAACATGGAAACCAGAAATGCTTAGTATTTTGAGTGTATAAAAAGACTGGGGCACAAATCAACAGCCCTTCTAGAAACTCCACCTCTTCTTAAAAACTATTTGTTTCTGGACATTTTGATGAATCAAGAAAAAGAAACCATGGAAACGCAAAAAAGAAAAAACCTGTGGGTGTAGTTTCGATACTAAGACATGCTCACACACGAGCTCATCCACTAGCTTCATTTGGGTCGCATTGGGCTGTTTTATTGTGTTTCAACCTTTATCAAAATGGCTTCATAACCTAGTGTGTGGTTCTTCTGCTAGCTCCGTCTATAGTTATCAACAAGAAAATTACATCATTTTAAAAACTGTTAAAGTCTGCCTGTTTTTGTTTTCTCATACCATCAAAAACCAAAAACCAAACCTGTGGCCACTGAGTTGATTCTGACTCATAGCGACCCTATAGGACAGAGAAGAACTGCCCCACAGGGTTTCCAAGGAGCAGCTGGTGGATTTGAACTGCTGACCTTCTGGTTAGCAGGCAACCTCTTAACCACTGAGCAACCAGGGCTCCAGCCATCAAAAGGAAATAAAATTATTTAATCTTTTGTTAAATCACTTATTAGGCATTATTTATAACGCTATCAAGCAGAAGCATCCATGTTGGAGGTTAAGGCATAAAACTAGGCAGAAGTATCTTTAATCAATTTATGCATACATGTTTATGTGTAAATCACAAACAAATAAACAAAAAACCCACACTACCTCTCTTTTCTATTTGTCTCTTTCTAAAACACCTTGAAGGAATTAACTGAGAAAGTATTTGTTCTAGTGGGACTTCATGGAAATGGAATCAGATATTTGTAGATATTTTCAAAAATGTTACTGTTTATATAACAAAAATTGTTATTTTAACCATTTATAAGTGTACAATTTGGTGACATTGATTAAGTTCACCATGCTGTACAATCATCACCATCATATATCTCCAAAACTCTCTCATAAGCCCAAACAGAAGCTCAGCACTTTTGTAGCTGTCTGTAAATGTTCAAATAATCTCTGAGTAGGAGATATCCCCAGGAAAGGTACACAAGCTCCCAACGATGAAGAGGTGTTATCTTGCAATTAGATAGAGAGTCAATTAGGACATTTCTTTGTGGACCTGGGATTTAAAATTATGCTCTGAAACACTAAACTGACTTTTTAAGTCCAAATAAGCAGCTTCATTCAAGATCACCCGCCTGAAACAAAAGCAATATATTTAGCACCATGGTGCCTTAGGAGTTACATACTGTAATATACTCTGCAATCATTTTTTCTTTATTATTATTAAAAAAGATGTTTTGACTAGATAACTGCGTATACATGGCATGAAACACAAAAGGGCATACTGTAAAATGTAAGTTTCCCGCTCACCCTAGTCCTCTTGTCCCCACTTTCTCTCTCTAGAAGCCAACACTGTTACTTGTTTCGTATGTATCCTTGCAAAGACACTAAATGTTTTTGTACATATGTGCATATGGATATATACTTTAAACACAAATAGGAGATTTTCATATACACTGTTTTATACCTTATTGTGCATTTTAAATTTTGATAGATATTGCCAAGTTACTCCACAGATGTCATTCTACCAGCAATCAGGAAAGCACCTATTTTTCCATACCTCTGTCAACACAGCACATAATCCAAGCTTTGGTACTTCTCAACAGACAGGTGAAAAAGTGATAGCTCACCATAGCTTCTTATTATGATCTGTTCAATAAAGATGTGAGCTACAGACACAGGTCTGTGTATCATCAGCATATGAACTTTAGAAGACAAATAGTGTGAAATAAGAAGGCTGGGGACACCAACATTCAAGGGATTGGTGGAGGAACAGGGAATCTCAGCGGAGAGAAAGAAGGAACAATCAGAGAAAAGAAGTTAACAAAACCAGGAAAGTATGAAGTTATGGAAGCCAAGGGTTTCAAGGAAGAGAAAGATCTAACAGTGTTAAAAACTGCAGACAGAACATCGAAATAATACAAATCATCTTCCCTGATCGTGATGCTATAAAAACTGCAAACCAGTAACAGAAAGGACAAGGAAAAAAATTAAATGCATGGAAATTGAATAACACCTACCTTAAAAAGTATTGGGTAATAGAAAAAATTAAAAATGAAATAACAAATTCTTAGAATCAAACGAGAATGAAACACAACATATCAAAATCTTTGTGACACAGTAAACGCTGTGCTCAGAAGAGAATTTATAGCAATAAATGCACACATCGAAAAAGAACAAAGGGCAAAAATCAGTAGCTTATCCCTACAACTTGAACAAATAGAAAAGGAGCTGCAAAAGAAGTCCACAGTCATCAGAAAAAAAGGGAATAATAAAGATCAAAGCAGAAATAAATGCAATAGAAAACAGAAAAACAATAGAAAGAATCAACAAGACTGGAAGTTGGTTCTTTGAGAGGATCAGTAAAATGGACAAATCACTGGCCAAAGAGACAAAGGAAAAAAGTGAGAAGATGCAAATAACCAAAAAAAAGAAAGAAATGAGACGGGTGACAGTACAACAGA